TCATATACTGTAATTAATCATTGCCGTACCTAGCATGTTGAGAGTCGGCAGCAGAAGAAAACAAAGAAAAATGAACGGAGGTTTTGCAATGCTTCCCTTAAAGAGTTCACTTCGGTAATTCTGGGGCTCACTGGCTGCCTTAACTGGCATTGAGAGACGATGGGTCTTTATCTTATCTTGGAGACTCTCATTTTCTAATCTCTTGGAGTTATTATCTTCTAAGCCGACCACCTTCGAACGTTACTCTTCTTTGATCCTTACATAATCAACAAGATAATCACATTATTTCATCGGATGTTTGGTCCTCGAGATAATAACTTCGTTCTACATATGTGTATGTTAATGCAGGTGGCAATATTAAGATCATCAACACTGATTTTTCTGCAAGAAAGCGACCCCAAGCACACATTTGTTCTGAACTTACTTAATTACCGGGTCGCTTTTTGTCTTGGCAGTCACACAGTCCAAATTAGGAATGTCTGAACATCGTTACTTTAAAATGTCACCAGGGGCTTGAATATATTAGGGAATGAGGAATACCTAACGAGGTAAGAATGTACCAAACGAGGAAAGAATGTACTTAACGAGGTAATTCTTGACCACACTACCTTTATGCCAAGCCCGCATCGATGCACGATAAAAAACGCCATTACTTTATGTGAACTGTATATGAACATTTCGCGTTCGTGACTGACTATTTTATATATATGAAAAAACTTTCACGTGTATTATTAAGGTTTTGTGATTTCACTATATGGAACCTGCGATACCTTACATCAAGAAGTATTTTATATCGTGCTACGAGAACAATGGGAAAGGGCGCTCCCAAAATGCAAGAAATAGCTTGGCTGCTTGCCTAAGCGTACTCAAGTGTGTTGAAAGAAACCAACTATCAGAATTCCTTGTAAAACTAAATAGAATGATCGGAACCTTTTCTCCATCAGGCACTTTAGTCCTACGTGTTTGAGAGAATTTACAGCAATTTGAATATTTCTCATGTATTGTGCCTTGTTCGTTGCAATTCATTCTAATCATTTTACAATGAGACTGAATTTTTAATTCATTCTGCAATGAGAAAGTGATACAATCCTGCTCACTAGGAAAGGTTGTGCTTCACATTAATATGTACCATCCTTTTTATAAAAACCCTCTGTTTTTCTTTTCAGAATTCTTCAATACAATTATTTGTATTCTCCAAGAGTTATTACTTGAGCGATCTGTTCACAATTACAGTATTTTGTCTTCTCCCCACAAATCATTATTTTGAGTGATTCATTCTCAATTATTTTCATTGGTTTGTTTCTCAAATTTAGTTCGTTTAGCTTGTTATTTCTCCCATGATTGCCAATGTCGCCGTCTCTTAGGTTCCAAGATGAAATTGCTTTATGCCCTTCTCACTTTTCTCGTGATCATTTCCATCGCTTCCGCGGCCCCCGGTGATCCCCATGAATTAGCAAAACGAGCTCTCGAGATCAGCGGTGGAACCCTTTGCAAAAGTAAACCAACTTGCGAGTATTATTCCGATGTCATCATTACGTCTCCTGCCGGGAAATCTGTTTGCTTTTGTTCTTCATGCACCATTAAATGCGATTCAAAGACAGACCTTTCATATTCTTGCGCGTGCGTTAGCGAATGATTATGGATTTCTTCCTCTTTTATTAAAAACTTCCATTGTTC